GTTCTGGTCAATAGTCTGGCTCCGTATCTTTTTCTCTATGGACTTGCACATCATAATGTCATGATAAAAACTGCATGTGCTGCCACTCTGTGCCATGCACGGTTGACTCTCTCAATTAGGAAATCAGCGGGTTTAACAAGAGACAGGCAAGTGTTCTAACTAACTCTGCTTTCATTTCGTGATCCAGGATTTGTAAAATGTTTGTTATAAATGGGTCGTCAACAATGCTTTTTCAGGCAACAGGGTCACAGAAACCCCTTCAGTGTAAAAGGAATTTCGTGTCATGCGATTTCACTGTAACAATTTTTGTTTCCATAGGAATGTGCACATTTTCGCCGGGACCGATGATGTGTGTTTGTTATAACCAGAATTTTGTTATCGCCAGTTTCCTCATAACGAGAGTCGACTGTACATGTACGTGTCCAAAAAAACATCTGAGATCATTTGACAACGTGGAAAAACAACTTTGAAAAAGAAGGACATCGCTGAATGCAGAAAGGGGCCAGAACAAATAAGAACCATTGATGAAGGCATAAAAATGCCTGGATATGGGACTGGCTGGAAGAGGATATGGATGGAGTTTCACTTGCTGAGATCATCCGCAAGCTTGATCAGCCAGGCGTGGCATATTGCGCAGTGTGCAAAAGGGAGATCAACTACAGCCAACGCAGATCATTGTAGAGTCTCAAAACATCGGGAGCTTATAAAGTTGCAAAAACAAACTATCCTCTGCAAAGTGAGATATTGAATATTTATTGCAGTTCGGTGAGGAAAATGTGAATATATTTTTTGGCTGTCATACTTAGCATGCAAGAGGTTGCTACCAAGGTCGCCAAGAAAGCCACACTATAAACTCACATGGAGAAAATAAAATCAACAAGCATCAATTAGAAAAATCTCAGATCTCAAATTATGTTCAAATGTAAATGGTAAAACAAGAAATCATGAAAAGTATGCATATTTTTGAAATGAAAAAATATAAAAATTCTCTTAACATTTAATTTAAGTAGTTGTAACTGCCCAGAGTGCACCAGCGAGCATCTAGAATTCAAAATATCCCCGGGTCCTAACATGGGCCACGGACCCCATGCTGTATTGGCTTCATGCTGCACACTCGCAATGTCATATGCATAGGTTCTCCTCTTTTTTTTTTTGCAACAAGAGGTGCATGCCTGATGTAGGAGTCACTGCTGATGAACCATACAATGGGGTTTCTTTAATATAATGAGCTAAATCCTAACCAGGATCCTAACTCAGTGCCTGATTGCCGACAAAGACCTCACATCTCCTTCAGTGGTATGGATTGTTAAAACTACAATCAAGAACGCTTGTTAACGCAGTTGACACTAATCCGCTTAGAACCTCTATTCATGAGTGGAGGGCCTGGGAAGCAGACTGTGATAAGCTATTCGTTTCAGTGACTTTGAAATGCCAACGGGCCAGATCGACCCTACTAGATGAGAAAGGCAATAATACAGGTGGAGGATCATACCAGCCAGGAAGTGGGTGGGCAATCTCATCTTGTAGAGAAATCGGCCGTCAGGGGATACCACACCTTACTGTGATTGGCTAGCTTGAGTACGGTGGGAACATTATTCAAAGTTGATATGTATGAATTGGGAAGTTACAAAGTAGGGGTGTCAAGTGAAATCAAGTTCATACAAAAAAATGCGGTTCCGGTTGGCTTAAATTGGAACAAGTGTGACACAGAAGGAAAGGGATCAATCAGAAAGCCAGGGGGGGCCTGGTGAATTATATACAACAACCTGATGAATTTGTCTGAGGCACATCTGTCTGAAGTTATGTGGAATCACTGGTGACTGAATTCTGAAAGGCGACCGCCTACTGGGCTCCAGGGAAGGGGTATGATAACTCTCCAGTTGTCAGAAGCACTTGTTGGTTTGCAACCCCCAGCACTTTGGAGACCACGCATATCTGGGGGCCGACTGCTGTTGGAGGCCTATAAAGATGAAGACTGGCCTGCATCTGTCTTGGATCCACAAGATGAACTCTGGTTGGAAGAGATATTTCTTGGTCTCTTCCTTTGAGCATTGATGGTAGAAGAATGGCATTTGGCCGAATACCAAAGCTCCAACTTGTCTTTTGTCTTGAGACATTTGGCTTCCTGCATCATGGCCTCACTGATTTTCTTGTCAAATAGATTGCTCCTTTCCAGAGGAAGATCTAATAGGCCATGTTCAGATCCAACTGATGGGAGGGATAAGGATAATGGAACATCGCAGTAGGGAAGTTGAAGTAAAGCCTAATGCAAATTTCCAAGAGAAAGTCCCAGCAATCATGTTACTGGCATTTATCAAGGAAGGATTTTCATGACATCAAATAAGAGTGTCAGGAGGGAAAAGGATGCTAACGTTTTGGTCTTAGCCTAAAAAAATTATTTACTGAGTAAGGGTTCTCATGTCTCAGTAGATCTTTTGCCTCAGAAGATAGAGTGGGGGTTGAAAAATCAAACTTCGTTTTGTCAGTGGAGTTATCTGTTATTCTTGAACCTGCTTTAAACCATCATTCATAATATCTGCCCACGATATCCATCTACAGGGAAAGAGGGCTGTTTAAGTTTGGTTGTACCCGTATCCCTACGGCAGGACGGTTAAGAGAGCTCACTTGGGGAAGGAGAAAATTGAAGCAGCCTGTCCAATGGAGAGGCCATCTGCATCGAGTAGAAGAGAAAGAAGGAGTGAGTATATCGACTTTTGTGTCAGATAGGCTCCAGAACAGTAGTTCCTGATTGTTGAAGAGATACATCAAGAACTCTATTATGAGGGAAAAAGTTACTTCAGTTGGATTCGCAGCATGCTCTTTACACCAAGAGTTGAAATGTCGAATGTGGCTGTCATAAACTTTCTCATAGACAAGCGTCTGCTTCTGGCAACCAGAGCAGCAGTGTGTTGAAAAACCCCTGCCTGGTGAAATGATTGTTGGACAATGTCCAACACACTAGGTGCAAATGAAGAGGATCCAGATGGAGATGGTGAGACTTGGGCTGAAACAGCAGGTCATGGCGCAGGGGCACTAACAGGGGAATATTGACCAGAAACCTCATGATTTGGGGAAATAAAGGCTGTCTCGGTCAGTATGGTGAGATGAAAAGAACTCAGCAATGTTCTTTCTCTATCTTTGACAGCACCCTTGGGACCAGTGAAATGGGAGGAAAGGCATAAGCCAGGAAACCTTTCCAAGAGAAGCCCAGAGCATCAGTCGTCCACGCTTGAGGATGTGGAAATCTGGTGCAAAATGTGGGGAGTTGAGCAGATGAGATACAAAGAGGTCTACATGCAGCCTGTCAGTTGCTCGGAAGAGGGCACGGACCAACTTTGGCTGAAGAGCCAACTCTGTCAGGCAAACCCTACCCCGAGAAAAGAGCATCAGCCACGTCGTTCTTTTTTTCCGGGAATGTGTTCGGCAAGGACCAGGACAGAATTACGAATGAACTGCTGAAGCGGATCCCAGGCAAGGAGGCAAAGGGTAGGCGAGCGAATGCCTCCTTGGCGATTGATGTAGGCGACAGCAGTAGCGTTGTCTGACTGAACCAGAACTTTCTTGCCTGTCAGGAACGGCCAGAAATGACAAAGAGCATTGAAGATTGCATGGAGCTCAAGACTGTTCATGTGGGAGTCCTGCAAGGTTGACTCCCATTGGCCGGAAATCTGATATGGCGGAAGGCTGGTGCCCCACCCGTAGGTCGAAGCGTCTGTTGTAAATCTAAAAAATTTAAACAATCTAAATCTAAAAAATCTGATTTAAATTTTTAAAATCCGATTTTTAAAATTTTTTTTTTAAAATCATGATTTTTATCAACCCTGCTTGGAAGACCACCATGTTAGGTGGTGACTTAAGAAGACCAGCACCAGCATGAGAAGGACCAGATAATCTGTGCGCAGTCTGAAGTGAGACAGGAGTTGGAGTTGGAAAGGTCTCATGTGGGGTCGGCACCAAAGGACAAGGTCGACAAGACTGGCCATGAGACCAAGAAGTTGTAGCTAAGCCCATGCATTTATCTGTTGACGAACTCAAAACAGGGACCACTCTGGTGAATACTCACAGAGAGGTGGAAAGACCGAGAGTGTGAAACTCATAGGTCTGACCCTGATACGAGAGGTGCAGGAACCGGCGATCGTTGGGATGAATGGGTATGTGAAGGTAGGCATCCATGAGGTCGATCGAAGCCACCTAAGCTGGAGTGGAGATTCAGCAAAGAACTGTGCGAAGGGTCTCCATCCAGAACTGCCTAGGGCGGATGAATTTATTCAGCAGCTTTAGATTGAGAATCGGTCTCTATTTCTCAGAGTCCTTCTTCGGGGTAAGGGAAAATGTTGACATGAAACCCGTGCAGAAATTGAGTGCTGGAACTGGAATGATTGCCCACTTCTAAAGGAGGTTCGCAATTTCCAACTCCAAGGCCCTTCACTTGGACTGACTGATGGGAACCAACCATGGCCGAAACACCGTGTTGGGCGGAGAGGCACTCGTGAACTTGAGGCGGTAACCATGTAGAAGAGTGTCAAGGACCCATCTATCTAATGTTATTTCCCCCCCCCCATAACCCTGCGAAAGATAGAAAATGGCCCCCAATGGGTTCGGGATTGATGACCGAAGAAGGGGTGGAATAGTCACTGATGCCGACCCCCGAAAGACCGTGGGGGGCAGTAGGTGATACCACGCTGGGCACTGGAGGAAGCCGGAGCCATAGAGCGTGAATGTTCCCAGGTGGAACGCAAAGGCCAAGGAACATGTCAAGGAGTCCCTGTAAGATGATGCACCTGAGGAGCGGAGTGTTGCGGAGGCCTTGGAGGAGTCGGACGAGGAACACAAGGATTAGAGTTGGCTTGCTGATGAAAGGAGATCTTCTGGGCATTGTTGATCCCCTTGACCTCACTTTCGAGAAGAGAAGTAAATTGACCCGCAAAGATATGTTTGGCAAACAGGGGAAGACTCTTGAGGGTGAAATTAACTGACTTGTGGAGAATACTCACAGCCAGATTTCCTACAGGAAGCTGTAGCACGAACAGATACCCTGGCAAAGTGCTCAAGCCCTGTAAGCAAGGAATCGTCTAGGCATGCAGTGAAAGGCCATGGTCACAAACTCGCAAGCCCGGGACAAGAACTTGGTAAGGAGGAGGAGAAAAGCCATGCAGTTGATACCCGAGCGAGCAGCTAAATCAACATCCTTCAGAGCCGACTCCATTTGCTGAAAATTCCTATTTGTGAAAGATTTCACCCTGTTCGGAAAAATCTTATCTCTGGCCATGTCGGGGAAGTCTGGAACTGAGACATATTGATCAAAATTAGCCCGTGGGAACTTAAAAACTGGTGTGGGCGGAAGCCTGAAGTCCACCGCTTGGCCTTCAGCAGTCTGTCTATTGCATCTGTACAAGAATGATCAAGGAGAAACTCTGGGAAGAGGGGGGGAAGATGAGGTCTCTCCGGGTAAACGACGCTTGAATGGGGATCCCCCCCATCATCAGGAGGTGATGGGGTAGGCAGTCCCGGGACTTTTATCATCTCCCACTGTGGAAGATGTAAGCGAGACTCGAACGGCAAAAGATCGATCACCGAAAGGAGCTCATCCTCATTCAGAGACTGACCTGAGCCAGAAATACAAAGAAAGGTCAGGACTAGAAGCAAAACCCACCAACAAAATGGTAGTTTGTTTATTCATGGACTCTACAATCGTACACGAAACCAATACACCAGTAGAGGCCGCTCTTAATGGGAGGACTGTGTGAATAGACTCCGCCCGGAGCAGTGAGCCCCACAATTACTTGTGTGCATCTTGTGCCAACAGGACCTGAATAAGGGCTATCTCAGGGTCATGCTACTCACAACTCACACTGCGAAATAGCGATCTTCTCTTTACTCGACCGTAAGTTCCCACAAGCAATTCTTATCTCACCACCAAATAGCCCCTCAACCTACCAAGCCCCTCAACAACACTCGGGACTAAGCACTGGCCACACTTACACTCACGTACAAGGTGTATCAAACCTCACTAGTTGCTTGCTCTGCCTAAACTACAGTTTTGGGTATGTTATAGCAGAATTGAACCAAATGCAAGGTTCTACTATAACACAGTCCCTTCGCACCTTGTATCCCCTTGCAAGCCGGCTGCTGCCATGACTACACCTGCGCACGCATGCTACATGTGACCAAGCAGTGATTAGCATTGCCCAATAACCTACATGCAAGGTAAAGCATAAGCGATGTGTCCGCTTGACACACGTCTAACGTGAGTATACATCTGCCCTCTGTTACAGTGCAGAGTGCCATCTATCGCCCTCATTGCACCTGTCACCTAGTACCCTCTGCCGTGTCACAATATTTATGCCCTTGTTGTGTCATACTGTAAAAATTCAATGTTTAGTTTTTGCGTCATATGATGAAATAGAAATGATGCGGCACAGCCCAATCTTCGGACACGGATTGGGTTTGTCTGTTTTTTCATTTGTTTGTCCACGAGGAAGTTTTGCAAGTTTTAAATTTCCTCTTGTATGAAATATTGAGATATTTATAAAATGTTCACACAATTCGTTTTCGAGTGTAAAATCAATAGCCTTTCCCCAATGGGCACTTGACCATTCAACCTGGCAGTGAAAATGATCCCACCGCCCGGTCAGACATTAACGCATGGAGAAAATCGACCAAACACTTAAAGCAAACAGCTCTGAGGTGGGTTATTCCATGAAGTTGGAGACACCTAGTTATTTGCCTACAGTCTGAAAACTTTGGAGTAAATCACATGGCTACTTAAATAATTATCCATTTAAATTTACATTAAAAAAAGAATACTGAGAGGTATATTGTTGAATCATATTGTTCATATTTGTGGAAACATTTTTTGCAGCATAAAGCATGAAAAGTGGTTTCTGGTTATAAAAAAAAACCAATATTTTGTGACAAAATAAATGGGCACTTAAGAAACGAAGAGAGTGGGTTGAAAGTATATGTAAACATTGTCTTCTCTTTTACATATCCGCATCCATATCAACCCTCTACAGTTCACTGTATAGTTTATGTTTACTTCATAAGTAAGCCCCTGTGTTGTTCGAGGGTACGAACGTAACATGTGGTATTGCCTGCCTGTTTGGATGCATCATAAATGCTTACCACGCAAAACACGGACATCGTTGGCCATTTTGCCGTTGTGATTAACTGGCTAGCATTGTGTGAATTGTCCATAATTGTTGTGAATTGGCTACTGTGGTAATTTTTCAAGGATTAAGACGGGTTTTTATCAATTTTTGGGACAATTTTTGAAGCTTTAATCCCCATTCATGCCATTCAGCACAGACAAATTGACTCAAAAAATATCCAACTTACTGACCCTATTATGAGAGGCATGTAATCGCAAGCAGAACTATTATTTTTTTTGGCCTAATACGACTTTACCTGAAATAGCTCCCGGGCTCAGTGAAACAGCTTCTGAAAATCTCTGAGTTTTGAAAGGCCAGGAGCTGTTTTTAGCTTCTGGGCAAAAAAAAGCTTAATGTCGACCCCTGTATAATGTCTCTAACAATTTCATCCGTGCTCATTTTGTATTGACAATTGTGGTAGCTTGTCACTGTGAGCTTCATGTCTTAAGGGCATTGTAAATCTTCTGCCAGCAACACAGGCACAGATTATAATGTAAATAAGGTATAAAGTGTTTATTTTGATATTCTTTGTTCACATTGGCACATTTTATACATGAAATTCACATATTTATAATCATACAATAGGTGCATTTTTTCATTGGTTTTCATTCCCTTTGCATTTTGTCGTTGAATTTTTCAGATTTTGTTTGCTCTGACGTCAGCATTAGATATTACATACATGATGACAAGGAAAAACTTTCAACTTGATATAAAAAAGAAGACATCCATTGAAACACAAGCATAAGGAAAAACAATTTTTTTTGATGACCCGTAATTGCCATGTAACATGAAAACCTTTCTATCAATCTTTGCAAACTTGGTATCAAAAGTTGTGCAAGACTTTAAAGACTTTAAAGTAGTCGAAAAATTTCCAAGGGGGAGGTAAATTTAATCTCCCCAGTGTTGTGTTCGAGTCCAACATAAGTCCCTTCACAAGGCTAGTCATAAGGCTAGCCCATGTTGACATGGTGGATGTCAACATGGGTGGTTGTGTTTTTATTTCTTTCCTTTTTTAACCCACAATTGTTAACTATCTTACCTCCTCTGCAATGGTTTTTACTTGTCTTTTGCCTTCAATGCGTTCTCAGTATAATCATCTTTAGATTTATCAGACTGTGATTTCCTTAGCCAATGTTATCTTTTGGATGGTGACAGATTTCTTCTTGATGATTTGAACTTGTGTGGCTATGTTCAAAATGGCCGCCTACTTATCGCACACATGTTCAATGGGACATGCAACAGCAATGACTTTCACAACCTGTGTGGTCTTGCTTTGTACGATTTCAACATCGTCTCTCGCTCTCATCATTCAGACTGGGATCTTCGACGGTTACTACCATGGACTGTTATCTACACAAACAATCTGGGCAGACCATAATATCCCTGAGCCTGCGTTTGATTGTTGGAATCTGTTCCCCTGGATTAGGAACTTGGCCCTACACTACACGATCTCCCATAAACCCAGGTATTGCAAAGTCTCTATTGCTTATTATAGCAATTGCACGGCAAGTTTTCAACTGACTCATCTACCTGTTGACTTGTCAGGCGACATTGAAGCTAACCCTGGCCCTGCCAAATTCCCCTGCTCCCAATGTGAGAAACCAGTCAGGAAGAACCAATGGGGCATTTGTTGTGATTCCTGTGACTTATGGACTCATGCAAAATGTGTTTCCATCAGCGTAGCAAGATACCACCAGCTTGCTCAGAATTTAACCGGTGTCATATGTACTCTGCCATTTTTGTAGTCTGTGACTTTAATATCAATTTCTGCCCTTCTGTAATCCGTACAGCTGGGTTACTAGATCGGCTCCAGCATGCTTCCAATATTTTAAATTTTCATCAAATGGTTAACCTGGTTACTCTTAGGAATTCCTCTGACAACATGAAGAGGTCCACCCTTGACCTGATTTTTACTAATAGACCTGATATCGTCAGTCATGTTTCTGCAGCACCCAGTTTGGGCCTTAGTGATCACAATGAAGTTTTATTTGATTGTTCTACCACTTTTGACAGTAAATCTTTGAACCATACTTTTTATCAGTACGATAAGGCTGACCAAACTGTTCTGTGTGATACACTTGATCAGGTGCATTGGGACACACATTTATTGCCTGACTTAGGTATTGACCAAATTTGGGATAACTTACAGGTTTACTCTTTGCTGTCATCCATGATGTTGTTCCAATGGCCAGGCAAAAAGGTAAAAGAAGGCAGCCTTGGATCACTGGTGAAGAAAAAACATACGGCTTACAAAGTGGCTGTGAGAAACAGTAATAATGTCCATCTCTGGCTTTTAAGTATAAAAACCTACGTAACAAGGTTAAATATGTCACCAGGAAATCTTACAGTCATTATTTAAAGGATTTGGCCAACAACTGTAAAACTAATCCTAAACGACTCTGGTCGTTTGTAAGCTCAAACCATAAAAAATTGGCAGTTGCCTGTCTACACATTGAGGGGAAACTATAACTGATTCTGTGACCATTGCTAACAAATTTAATCATAGCTTTCAACTGAATTTTCATACTGACAGTAATTCTTTCATTCCTGTTAAGTGTAGTCACACCTGTAATCAGTTTAGGTTGACCTTTATTTTTATTTATTTATTTCTGATATTTATACAGTGTAACCTATTCACCATAAGGTGGTCTCCCAAGGGCCCTGACATATACATTAAAGAAAAAAACCACACATGTACAATGAACAAATTAAATACATTTTAAAATGAATTTAAAAATGAAAATTAAATATAACTTAGAATTTTATCTAAAAAAATAAAATAACATTAAAACTGTTGAAGAGCTGATTTTAGAGAATGTTTAAAAATGCCAAGTGACGGTGCCGATTTCACAGATTGGTCCAAATTATTGCACACTGATATCAGTGTGAGCAAAGGGCTGTGTCTTAGACATTCAGAATGAAACTTTGGAACAAATAGTGAACTTATGGCATGCCGCATATTATAATTATGGATCTGGTTAGTTGGAGTTAAACCATCCTTTAAATAAGCTAGTGCCAAATTATGCATACATTTGCACATTAGAACAGCACAATGGTAAATAAATCTTTGTTTCAATGGTATCCATTTTAGCTCACGAAATAAATCAGTTGATGGAGTATTGTAACCCTTACTCAAGATAATTCTAGCAGCTTGTTTATAAAGTTTCTCAAGCTTGTTATTATGTGTCTGGAACCTATTAGACCAAATCCGGGCACAGTAATCAAAGTGAGGCTGGACAAATGAGTTGTAGAGAAGCAGCAAGGAATCGGTCCAAATATAAGGCTTGACCCTTCAAAGCATACATAATTTGGATTGGAGAGATTTACAAACTTTCTTGACCTGGACATGCCAATTCAATTCTTTATCTATTAAAAGTCCAAGGCACTTGGCTACTTTCACACGTTTTAAGACATTACCACAAACACTAATGCTAGAGTTGTCGACACTTTTTACCTTAGCCCTGGAACTGATAAGCATAACAGCAGTTTTGTCAAGATTAACTACGAGACGTTTTTCCTTTATCCAGTTCATGACTTGAGTGACTCCTTGAAGCATTTTTTTTCTATTTCCTTGCGACTTACAGATAATGTAGTGTCATCTGCATACATATCAATTACACCTTCAGTGACAGAGTAAGGCATAGCATTGACATAAATAGAGAAAAGTAGCAGTCCCAGGATAGACCCTTGGGGAACTCCTGTACAAATATTTAAAGGACGAGAATTTTCGCCTCTGAAAAAGACTCTCTGAGTGCGATCCATTTAACAGTGTTGTCAGAACACCCAAATAATCTCAGCTTTCTTAACATTAACCACTTGCTGCTGGGTGGATTTTATTTTAGCAAGACAAGATGCCGGCTCATTTTCAAGATTTCCGTTTTCAAAATTCTTCAAAAATTCATCATTTCATTTAATGGCTGTTTATATCAAAAAGAAGGACTCTTTGGGCACTGTTTTAAAGCTGACAGGTAAAATTCATTGACTCCTGAATATTTCAGCCAGGCCTGCAGCCTTGGAAAAAGAGCCCAGATTGTGCAGTGTTACGTAAGATTCTTTTTTTTCCCAAAACCGGCACAGTGCACTGCTGACCTCTTTTCAGTAGGGGCCAGATTAGCGTTCAGTGGTGCTATGTGGCTCATCGCTGTGGTGGTGGAGAGCTTTTGTCCCCGGTGGTAATCCACTCGCTCTAAATGCCTCAAACTGTGGTATACTGTTTCAAAACAAGGCTAGATTATCTCCACTATTCAGAGCGAAAAAATGTTGGTAATGCCCAGCAGCTCAGTCTTTTGTGCTGAGCACGGTCTTTTGTTATAAGGCCCAACTCTTTCGTCCCAGTTCCGGGCTCCCCGGCTCTGCATATAAAGTCTATGTACTCAAAAACGGGTCGCCCGGTAGGAAGTGGTTAATAGAGCGGTACTCGATACGCTTTTCACTGACTTAGTAGTCTTATTAAAATCCCTTACAGCATAAATAAAAAAGTGATCACTAATACATGGTAAAAAACACTTTGTTCATGGTAAAAGGTAGGATTAGGAAAATTAGTATTAACAGTTCTGCTGTGATTTGTGACCCTGGTAGGGGACGCAATTAGCTGGGTAAAACTGTTTAAAGATGTCTGAAAAGGTAGATTACGACTCTGAGTATCAGACGCTGGAGACAACAAATCATGGTTAAAATAACCAAGAATGATGCATTCTGTTCCAAGATCGGAAACACGATCGACATTCTTATCAAATTTAGTAAGGAAGTCACAGTCAGCGTTTGGAGGTCTATAAAAACTTCCGCCAAGACAGGGAGATTTGTGTGGATAACAAGTCTCAACCCAAGCATTCTCTAGATCCTCTGATTCCAGGTTATACCTACACTTGCTATTAAATTTGTCAGAAACATATATAGCAACTCCTCTGCCTTGCCTATTTCTATCTTTCCTATAAATGTTAAACCCATCAACTGCTATTTCGGAATCAGAAACAGAGATATCACACAATGTCACATTAAAGGGCTTATTTTTCAATAAAACACGTAATAAATCATTTTTCCCAACAAGGCTATTGATAATAAGATGGCCATATTTTATACCCTTTCTTTGTATCCGTGGGATACTGCCATCAACAAGTTCTTGAGTATGGCTTACACATGTACCTAGTAATGATTGCTGGAACCCCTCATATTCTGCTGGTGTCGTTTCCACTCGACCACCCGGAAGGGTAGGGGATGACAATGTTGCGTGGAGATTTTGTTCTGGCTTGTTTGTCGCATCTTCAGATGGGGAGCTCGAAGCGGTAGTCTGTTCCTGGTCTTCCATATGGGATTCCGAAAACCCCCATCTTGCCCTGGTCTCCTGGGTACAGCATTGGCATATGATGTTAGGTGGGCAGATGCAGATCTCCCCGTGGAATGCCATTTACCGGGAGAACGAGTCTCAGGATACAAATGAAGAAGGATATTCTTGACAATTAACTGTGACCATACTTGCTAAGATGAATCCCATCTGGGCACAGATATTGATATATAATGTTAATGTTGTCAATAAAAGCCTATCCTTGCTTGCACGTGAATGCCTTGAGTAAATGGTTGGTGGTGATGAATTTTTTCCTTCTTGATCAGTTTCTCTGTTACGATGTATAATACCTTAGATGGTCACATGAGATATGTCAGTCTCGGCCTTTAGCTATTTAGCTACAGACACTATCTTACTATAGACTTTGTCAGCTTCGTCATGAATATTATTTGTTCCTACATGAAGAACAAGTTCACTGGGTCTATCCACTTCAAGCGAAACACAAGAGGGTGTGTTTTTGGGTACATAATGGAGATCAATGGGTACACTGCGCCATGAGGCACGCAAGTATATGCGCGTTTGAAGCAGAGCACGCTGAGTACGTGTAACTAATAATATTCCGGCGTACACTTAGAATGCGTGCAAGAATGCACTTGTAACCACCTGTCTTTCTTTCGCCGATGGGGTTGCACTTCAGCTCGGGGCGGATACCATTTGATCTGGTCCTTGGCTTGAGGACAGATATCATCGACCTTGGCCCTGGAACTTGCAGAGCATCGGATATGCTTAAACCTGCTCAGACGTGGACCACTAATATGTTTCACCATCAAATCACCGACTATGAGAACATCAGTACTGGAATCTGCTGTCTCTCTTTCTACTTTTCTATATATTGATGTAATTGCAGTTGGAAGGATGGGGGACTGTGATGTTCACCGCTGTTGTTATTCTCTCAGACAGGTAGATTTAAAACATGGTAGTAAGTATCGATTACATTTTCTGCCTCAGCAATGCTGTCGTTGGTTATCTGTTGATCTAACAATCGATCAGGTCTTTGCAGGGCTACCAAACATCTTCTTGGGTGGTGGAGTACGACTGCCGTTTTCTAGAAGATCTATACACACCTTGAGCTCGATGTTCAATAATGGTATCTTTGGACGCACTCTCATTGACAGTGCGTTTTAAGTCAAATTATCTCATTCTGCATACTAATAATAGATGCCTGAAGAGACTGAATAGAGCGAATAATAGGGTTTACTGGATCGAGACAGTTGCTGTGCAAATCAGTGGACATCCCTTTATCACATGGCTGGGCACGAACAAACGGAGGGGCCGGAATCAATATGGTGTCTCCCATAAAAGCCCGAAGGAGGCCATCTGGTGATACGGTTTTGGAAGAGGAACTGATACATCCTTTTGGAAAGGCTGTACTTCCATTCAAATACAGGGCGAGATCCATGATATCATCACATAATGAATCATATGTTCACCTTTCTGCATCTGCAGTTTAAGATCACTGGCGGTCTTATTTTTTATTTTGTTTTGGTTTTGTGTGTTTTGTTTTGTTTTCGCTACTTGTATGTTTCAGAGGTTGTGTTTCTCTGTCTGTGGGGTTATTTGTTTCTCATTGATTGTCTCTGTGGAGTTTGTTTTGAGGGGGTTTTGTTGTGTTTTTAGATTTTTAGTTATCTTGGGGGTGTTTTCTTTGCTTTTCTTCTTAATATGGTGCAATACACAAAATTATACATAAATTTCAGGGTTTTTTACTATTTTGTAGGTTTATTTTTTACGCCCATGGGATTATGTGTTTCAGTGTGAGCCTGCTATAATATTTGTGATTTTGCAAATTAGGGTTCTTAGTCATGCTATGAGAGAACTACTTGACAGTGATTTAGTTCACTTTTTAGTAATCCCGCAGGGGCATTCAACTATTTTGGTGTTAGAGTTTAAGTCTTTTTATAGGTTTGATGTTATATTTAAACTATGTCCTTTTTATGTCTATATTGTATGTAATATTTTTAATTATTTTGTTTACCCATTGTAAACTTGACCTGCAAAATAATTAATGAAATGAAATAAGTTACAGGGTGAACAATGAGAAAAGATTGCTTTTGTCACAATTCATTTGAACACTTTGTGAATTGCTTAGGAAGATAGAGTGACTTGTGGTGGACTTACAGGGACTTGCATGACTTCTGATGGACTCGAATACAACACACCACGTGCCCACAGACTCTTGACCAATCAAAAGCTATTATACTGTTTCGTATCCAGGTGCCAGCACATGATTTACACAGTGGGCATTATCAAATGTGGATACGGTCAAGTTGCATGTTGTTGAATAAGGAGGCTGTTTGAGGTATTTATGAATGAATGATAAAAGAATATCTGATGTAAAATTATTTCTTTTTGTTTTAAAAGGATCCAGGACCAGCTCCACCAGCTCCTTCTCTAGACTAGATGCTACTGTTTCGAGGAAGTAATGATGAATGATGGAAAAGTGCTTTGGTTGTGGGGGATGTGTTTTTGTGAGCATATTTTTCAGAGGGGGATGGAGCCATAAAATAATACCTTTTAAAAGTAAGCATTTTTTATGCAGTTCCATAGTAGCAACTTGTACTATTTATTTTTAACAACTATCACTACTACATGTATAGTGCACAGATAATACACATATTTTGATACAGGGACTTAAATGTACCAGTACCACATATACTCTGTGGCTCTATAACAAGTGAACACTTGTTTAAAATTAAAATAGGGAAGAAAAACAAATTTTATTTTCGTTCTTTCATGTTCTATTTAAATAACATACATTAACTAGAGAATGTCTGGTCACAGATTAACATGTGATATTTGATGCCTCCATGTATCATGACACAACCAAATTTAGCTTCAAACTCGTAACTGTCACACTTCTTTTGAAATTGATACAGTCCTAAAATTTGCACATTGGAATGATTGCTGAATTTTCAGGTCTCCTGCCTTCAAATATCTCTGCCCAGCCTGCGTTCACATACCCCTGCCCAGCCTACATATACCAACTTTCCATGTGCCTATGAAAAGACTTGATTATTCGTACTGCCCCTTGACCCTCCATAACACACTGCGGTCCCACCACCATGTTCACCCTTCTTTTCTCAGCGCCTATCATTTACAGACGTGTCTTTACAGTATCTTCAGAGTTTGGAGTTCATTACCTTTCACATTTGTGAATCAACCTGATTCCTGGTTACGATTAAAGAGTGATTTCTTATCTGTTGGCAATAGTGCTTATTTTTGTATTTTTTTTGGTTCTTTTCTGCCCCTTATTGGCAAGCTGCGAAGCAAATGCGAGCCTAAGTAATACTGATTTCTGTCTTCTGTCCGTCCGTCTGTTGGTCGGTGCGTTCGTCCAGCCATCCTCAAATGTTAAAGTACCTTGCAGATCCATAGGTGTTAAAATGGGTGTCAGCTCGTAAGTCCGACACCTCATAAGTCCGCAAAAAGGTTTTTAAAAAGTCCATAAGTCCGACACCTCATAGGTTCGATGCCTCTTAGGTCCGACAAATGCATTTAAAAGTTCCAATGGTTTTTTGGCCCATAGCATACATCCAACGCCTGAAATAATCCGACGCCTCGAATGTCCGGTGTTTGATTTGACTGCGGATGAGACGGCGCTGGGAACAAGACTGGTTCCCAGTGTCAAGTATGGTATACTATTTATGACACGCAGCCTCACATCGCGCGGGCCCACACTTCTCCATGTTTCACAGTCAATCGTACTGACGCCTCATATTAAGTCTGACACCTCGTTAGTCAGACATCGGATTTATGAGGGGTCGGACCTTTGAGCCCATAAATCCGACGCCTCACAAGTCCAAAAATTCGGACTTTTCAGGCGTCGGACTTACGATACGCACCCTCAAAATGTGCCATTGAGTGCTTGTTTGCTTCCTCTTGGAATTCCATCAGTATTTAAATAGTCTCATATGGCATTAATGTTTAGAAACTTAACTACCATGTCAAAGTAGACATGGTAGATATGGGATGATGGGGGGTAGAATTGTAGAGGATAGGATAATGGGGTTGGATACAACTGCAGAACTGTACTTTAGAGGAATTTCAATTATGCACCATCCATCAGACTCACAAATGCACTGCTTATATAATCATCCAGGTCTAGTCTGATTGTACTGAACCCACATTCTTCAGGCATTCCTCTCTCCTGTAAAGAACTGTGAAGCGTTTGTACCCATATCTCCCTTGCTGGTGGTCTTTGTTGATTTACTTCTAAATGACAGGCACCTTTCAAAACATAGTCTGCACACAGCACTAACTAGGTTTTTTCCTAGAGTATAATGAATTTTATTGCTGTGGTCGATTAAATATCTTGCACATCTGTATTGTAGTTGTATGTCAACCAATCTTGTAAAAGATTTTGATGAAGCTTGGTTAGTATAATTTAGTAACCATATTTGTATAACTTGGATGTCCCTAAACATAGCTGTTATTACAGGAAAGAAATTCAAATTCATAACAAGCAGCGAGCCATGACGCCTTTGCCCTTCTAGTTCTGTGCATTATTTACAGGTTTGGGGCCTACTATTGTATCGTGTTGTGTGTGGCTGTTAAACAGGGCTGACGGGCATCCCTTTGTTCTGAGTGATGTGCGTACGTTCAAACAATAACGGCCCACCATATTCTGCTGTATGGGTCTGGCTGTGGAGCGGGGACCTTATGAGCTGCCCTGATCCCTTGTGGTGTGGTTGTGTTGTCTGAGACTAACAGCCATGCCAGGGAAAGACCCAGTGGAGTGGCTAGGCCAGGGTTGAGTGTGCAGTGCCGCAAACTACCCCTGACCTTTATCTACATTGATTAGGTTGAGCATGCAGTGCCACAACACTCCCCATGATCAGTGAGGACTGCTGTTTGGATTGATCGGGTTGAGGGTGCTGTGCTGCATAACTACCCTTGATTACTGACGACCACTCTCTATACCCAGTGATTGGGTTGAGCATGCTGTGCTGCAACACTATCCTTGTTCACTGACGACCACTCTCTCTACCCACTGATCGGGTTTAGCATGCTGTGCTGCAACACTATCCTTGATCACAGACGACCACTCTGCATATCACGGCTGGATCACGGCTGACCAGAGCATAATGAATTGTTCCTCTCTGTCTATGCTGGAGGTGCTGACTGTTGCTACCTACCACATCCCTGAATGACTCTGCCTACCGATGGCCCAGCAGGGATTGCAGGGCGATGGCCCGCCGTCTGCCCCAGGTCCCTCACCGGCTTCTGCTCACTGTGCTTCTTCCGCTCGGAAGTCGGGCCAGTCAACCCCCTTCTAAGTGGGCAACGGGATCCATGACGAATTTGCCACGCTCCACTGCTTCTGTCACAGGCAAGTCTACAGAACAGCATGGTGCACAGCCTCATGTTGTGTTGGACGATGTTAGCCCTTTTGGACTTCTACACCACCAGGGCTTTCATCCGCTGCATCCCATCCGCAGCTCTAGTATAACCCCTGGTCTGCGGCCATAGGGCCACTGATCCTGATCCAAGGCGCTCCTCCTAGGATATGATCGACCATTCGAGGGATTCTTGCCCAGCTGCAGCTTCAACCGTCCCAGCCTTCGGTTCCCCCGTTCCAGTGAAGACTAAGAAGTGCAAGGCCAAAACCTCTTCCTTGGCTTCTTCTTCCACGTCCAAGGCCAAGAAGAAGGGCTTCTCCACACCGGCAGCCCCCACCACAACGAAGATGACAGGCAGGACCATCCCCGTCTTCAGGCCGTTCCTTCAGTCGTCCGCTCCGATCAGCAACTCGGTCCTCAGGCTCCCTTGGAGCTCCGCCCCTGGCCGCTTGTAAAACGTTCCAACCATGACCTGCCAACCGCTGGTCCGCACCGCGCCCCCAGTCCCCACAGGAGTGCGGCGCCGGTGACTACTTTCCTTCACCTTTGGCAGCCACCAATCCCAAACCTGTCCGAGGCTGTCTAGGCAACTTCATCAGGTTCTGGCGGGAAAACACTGTGGACTGCTGGGTCCTTACCACCATTGCCCACAGTTACATTCTCGAATTCACGAGCTCCCCACTATCCGGGATGGTTTTCTGTTCAACTCCCCCTCCATGCCACAAGTCCAAGCGCCTGGCTCTGGAGGAGTAGATTCCAGCATTACCATGCAAACAAGCCATCATGCCGGTACACCCAAGTCAGTTGTCCACCAGCTTCCTTTTGTTGTTCTTCCTGACACCCAAGAAAGAACCGGGAAAATGGCGACCAATAATCAACCTGAAACTGCTCAACAAATTCATCACGTAGAAGCGGTTTTGGATGGAGACTCTAAACATAGACTTGCACCTCCTACCGGTCCCATGCTGGGCCGCTTCCATAGATCTGCAGGATGCATATCTCTATATTCCAATACACAAACAGGACTGCAAGTTCCTTCGCTTCGAATGTTGTGGTCAAATCTACGAGTTTCTGGCTCTCCCGTTCGGTCTCTCCACTTCACCAAGGGTCTTCACCCGGGGCGCCAAGACACTTGCTGCTCATCTGCGGCAACGCGACGTCCTCATTTTTCAATACCTCAATGACTAGTTAATCATCAGCCATTCCTCCAATGAGGCCAAGTGTAGAAGTGTGACTCTCAAAATACATGGGACAGAGACTGTCAGTTTTATACTCCACTCTCTCTTAAATTAATTTATTCCTTAATTATTTACACAGGCATAAAAAAACAAACAACTTGTCAAATTATTGCTTGCGTAATTAATTCTCAACTCCTTTTACTTGATGTACCATGTTGTTGCTCCAAAGGAACAAAAAACAAAACCAAAGGAAAGAAATCAGTTACTATCCTCACTTGGATGTATAATTACTCACTTCAAAATTTATAAAGAACCAATTAGGCTTCACAAATGAAAATAATCTTCAGACTTCTTTAAAAAGACTGGTAAATCACAAATTTAAAAAGTCTTAAAATGTTTCCACTACATCATGGATACATCCCTTCAACGAATCAACGGTGTAACTCCGGCTCCCAAAGTACTCTGACTGCAGCCACAACCTCGGATTTCCCAGTTCTGTATTCAGGAATCAGCGGGGTTTCCGTCATCTGGAATCGTGACTTTTAAGCAGGGGTAGCACGGGTAGCAAGGGTAGTACGATGGAATCAATCCTTGACCAATGACCATCTGAATTTAAAGAAATAACCCAAACATAGAAGTATTCCATCCTCATTTTAAAAGAAGAGGACAAATTGCTAACTGCAATTTTAACTCTGGCTACATCACACTGGTGAATTCTTTAACTTCATTAAGAGTATCTTTACATGTCACATTACTCAGAGGTTAAAGAGAAGTATAACTGCATCTTAATCAAATCAACAAATGAATCATACAACATTGTCTTCTATATTAAATAAGAAATCAACACGAGTTTCTTCAGTGGAAGATACTTGTAACTCTCAGTTGAGTTCTGCTCCTTTGCTGGCCCTGACAACAACCCTCAACAGACAAGGTATCCTCAGTCCAGTTTTGACCAAGGCTGAATTGCTGAACAGACACCTGATGTTGTGTCTGATAGGCAAAAGCTGCCTCAAGATTTGGCCTTATGGCCAACAAGAACAACTTGTAGGAGCAACGAAATCTTGTGCTATCACAGCGGAATCATTTTG